ATTTCTGCTGAGTATAAAGGGGCGGGGAGGGACGGGGGGGGGGGAAGTCCTTGGTTCTTTTCCCTTCACTGTGTGACCGAAGGTTTTGCTTTTATTTGTAAACATCTTGAATTACCCGTCGTTTTCCAGTCTTCATCGTGCTGTTGTCAGGCCGCTGGAGAGCACAGCGTTTTCTGAGCTGGGCTGGGACTGCTCCTTCACCACTGGATCTGCAGGAGACATAGACCAGGCAGGAAGGGGGAAAAGCATTTAATAATTGCTTCACCCTGACAAATCCTTCCACAGAAACTGCCCTCAAAACCCACTCAGCTGCTAAGGCTTTTGTAGAGCAGGGAACTGAAATTTGCCTCCACAACCCAAGACCTCTCCCTCTGCATCCCAGCTGGCCCCAGCTTCTCCCCAGACTCACAGAAATAGGGGTGTTCCATGGCCTCCTTGGCAGTCAACCTCTGTTGATGGTCATATCGCAGGAGTTTGTCCAGCAGGTCTAGGACTTCAGGACTGACCAGGTGCCTGTTCTCGCTGTGGATGAAGTTCTCCCAGCGCTTCCGGGAATGCCTGCAAAGGGACCAGCTCTGACCAGCACAGCAGTACCCAGAGGTCCTGATGGATCACCTCCCACTATCCACTTCTCAGAAGTGGATGGATGCTACCTACAGCTCTTCCTTGCACAGGCTGCTACTTTCCAAGCTCTTGCTGAATGGGGAAAACCCTCTTCTTCAGGTACGCAACTGCATGGTCCTGTGCCTGCGAGAGGCACAATACTGCACACTCCCTTCTGTCTATGGGGACTAGCCAACGGGCAGGGTGACACCCTGGGGACCACAAGTGCTCTGGCTTGCCAGCCAGCCTCCCAGAGGCTGTTCTGGGTATCCCACCCATCTCTCATCCTCACAAATCTCAGCTGGGAGATTCTGAGCTCCTCAGCCTACACTCATCTCTGGTGTCTACGTCTCCACTTGAAGGGTGTCAACGAACTTATGTAGGAGAAAACAGGGGATGGCTTGTGGATAATGGGAGAGGCAAAAGGAACAAGCCTATATTTCAGTGACCTCTTTGAGATAACATGAGCAGCCACATGGGAGACCAGCAAGCAGCACTGTGACCCAGACTGAAGAAGGCCTCTGCTAAGAGTCCTTCAAAGGGATGGACACCAGTTTATCTCCCTCTCTGTGTTACAAGGAAAAAAGGCAGCATTTCACTTCTCCACTTACTGGCCCAGGATATCATTGAAGTGGGGGTCCAGTTCTATGTGGTACTTCTTGAGATACCCATACAGCTCATCTGTGCCCAGGACCTTTGCAATGCGAACCAGCTGGAACAAAAGGCACATTGAGAAAGAGCAGAAGGGAAGGCCACCACTCTTGCACAGGCAGAGCCCGAATCTAAGAGCTCTCCTTCTGGAAACATCCCAGACGGAAGATATAGCTCCACTGAAACTTGGTTTTGCAACATGTGAAGAAAAAGTCTCCTACACAAGCCAGTGAAGCACAATTCCAGATGCTTTAACAAAGCATGCAGCAAGACCCTCTTGAACTCTGGTGGGTCTGATCCCCAGAACGCCCCCCTATAACACACAGAGATGAGGCAGTGACAAAGGTCGCATGAAATAACAAAACTTTACTTGATCATAATTGTCCTGGCCATGGAAGAAGGGCTCCTTTCGGAAGATCATGCTTGCCAACATACAGCCTAAACTCCACATGTCTAAGCTGTAGTCATACATCTGAGGGGAAAAAGGAGAAGATGTCAGAAAAGGGACACTCGCCAGAGCCCAGTTCCCTAACTGCACAGGCAACCTCCACCTTTTCACTTCACAGCCACCCTCTCTCCAACCCAGGCAATGCCCTGACAGGCAAAACCTGACAACCCAAAGGTGGCCACAATGCAACCACAAGTGGTATTGCTGGCTAGCAAGGAGGAGGCAGACTCTTACCTGGTAGTCCACAAGGAGCTCTGGTCCTTTGAAGTACCTAGAGGCCACACGGACATTGTATTCCTGAGCTGGATGGTAGAATTCAGCCAGACCCCAGTCTATGAGCCGCAGCTGAACATTCAACAGAGAGACACAGAGTCAGGACTCTCAGAAGGAGCTAGTCAGGTGAAGCCATGGTGGCCAAAACTCTCAATCCTATGAGGCAGGCATGGAGCTGGGGACACAGGGAGGTGCTCTGAGGACAGAAGATGCTCCCGGCAGTGCTCTGGTCAGGCTCTTCCCCCTCTCACCAGCTGGTGGGACAAAGCCCAGCTCAGAGAGTTCCCCTGCCTTCTGAATCCAAGCACTTTGTCACTGCTGGGCAGCTGGCTCCTCACCAGAGCCACCAGGCACAGTTGACAGGTCACTGCAGAGAAAGGTGTAGGCAGAAGCCAGATGTCTTACCCCACTGTTCCCAGGGGCTGAGCCAAAGGCAGTGCTGATTTTACCTGGGGGCTCAGAGCAGGAAACAAGGTAGGAGGGGATCTGCCCCACCCTGCAAGGCAGACCACCTCTTCTGCAGGGATGGATGAGCTGCCATGTTACTGACAGGCTGTGTCTCTAGTAATAGAGCTCCCCCTCCTTATAAACCCTTCCTTGCCTCCACAGCCACCACTGACTCACCAGGAAGGACCTGGGGACCAGCAACTAATTTGCTGCTGTCAACCCCAGGTCCCTAGGAAGACAGGTACACACAACACCTAGTGAGCCTGGGGCTGGGAAGCTCCCTGTGCTGCCAATTTCCATGGCACTGAGCTGGGTACAGATGTTTCCTATGACTTAACAAGCTTGCCCCAGAAAGATGGAAGGCACTGCCAGATGGTAAAAACATCCCATGTATTTCAGACAACGGCACCCTTCTTCTGCCCAGGGCTTCTGCACCTACTGCCACACCTCCATGGGGGAGATTATTTACTGTGAGGGTGACAGAGCCCTGGGACAGCCTGCCCAGAGAGGCTGTGGAGTCTCCTCTGGAGACTTTCAAGCCCTGTCTGGATGCCTTCCTGTGTGACCTGCCCTGTCAGGTGTTCCTGCTGCAGCAGGGGTGTTGGACTCGATCTTCAGAGGTCCCTTCCAACCCCTATGATTCTGGTCCAGACCTGCACCTCTCTGCAAAGAAACCCAGCATGGCTGCTAGGGGGAGCAATGTCCAAGCCAAGGATTCCCACTGCAGTGCTCCCCAGTGAGAATTTGGCTGTCTCATGACGCAGGCATGAGTGGAGGTGAGCTGGGAAAGGTAGGCTAAAGGGGAAATTACAGCTGTCCAGGCTATGGCTACAGAGGTAGTGAAGTTTCAGGTTTCTCTGGAAAAACCCTGCCTGGAAGCACTGGTGCCACAGTACCTTTTTCTGTTGGTGGTCTATCATGACGTTGTGGGGTTTGACGTCTCTGTGCATGATGCCCATGCTGTGACAGTAATCCAGGGCCTGGATGACACACAGATATTAGACATGGCTACAACCACAGGCACAGCATCAACAATCTAACAGACAGTTCTCAGCTAAAAGCAAGAGTGCCGTGTTCACCAGCAAGTGCTGCACCTCTGGCACAAGAAACTGGCATTTTCAGCTGGTGATGAAGTGACAAGCTGGCAACAAGACTACTGATCTTGTGTCCTGCTGCAATCACAGGTCTTGTAACCACATTCCCTGTGCAGTCTTTGAAGAACACAATGCAGAGGCATGACCCACCTGGTGACAAGCCCAATGCTCCAACCTGGGTAGCCTTGTACTTTCTAGGTCACAAGGTCTTCCCCAAAGGGGATGATTCTTATGTGCAAACAGTTTTATGGCCTTCCAGCGCAACTTGCCCCGTGTCACAAAACATTCTTGGTCCAGAAAGTCACCCCTGCCCTGCTTATTGAAGCCAAACCCACACTTAGAAAAGGCAAGTGATGGCACATAAAGACGGTGCTGCTGGACACTCGGGGCAGGAGCACACATAAGCTCTCCGGCCCCATGACCACTAGCCCCACCAACCCCCTGCAGCTGTTCCCTGGAGCAAGGGGGTGAGAATGTTGTTCTCCCATCTCCAGTGGAGAGGGAGATTCATCCATCAACATCTATCAGATGTTGCGAGATCTCCTGAAACCTGGAGGGAGGGTTCAGCTGCAGTCATTCAATATCCAAGACATCAGTGCCAGGGAAGTAACACTGTGCCTGGGTCCCTGCTGCAGTGGGAAGCACAGAAGACAACAGCACCCATCACAGCAAGGCCTCAGGGAACATCCCTGCAGTGACACATGGCCTCACAACAACAGGAGTCACAGCAAAGGGTGGTCTTGGGATCTCTAGGAGGGAAGATCTCTAACAGTTTGGACAAGCTGCCTACAGGGATGAAGCTATTCTAGCGTCTTGCTTGTCCGAAGGCTGGAATATCTAAACCTTATCAGCCCCCACCTTAATTCTAGGCTGATTCATGCTCCCTCCAAGCTTCTCTAGGAAGGTCTTTTCCCTGCAGAAAGGTGCAGAGAATAAAGCCTTCCTCCATTCCACTGGATCTATTTCAGGAATTTTGCAGTCACCAAGCCCTGAAGCACAACAGGCTCTCCTTAGCTTCTCCCACTCATTCCCAGAGGCAGAGGACCAGCAAAGTGCCAGCCTGGAAGTCCCAAGGCCCTGCTGGGACCAGACACAGCCAAGTTGCTGCTCCAGGAGGTGAGGTCAGAGCAGCCCTGGAATAAGACAAAACCTGTAATCTCTCCCTAATGTTCTGCCATATGGCTCTGTAAGCATTTCCACAGTGAGGTGCAAACCAGGCTAGTTAAGAGGAGGTATTTAGGGCACTCCTTGGTCTTTGTCAGAGGAGCAGGGAAAGCTTTGGCTGGGGGGTCTCAAAGGAGAGACATAACAGCATTATATCAACATGCAGCAGCCAGCATAACCCAAAGCTTCATTCCCCAAGACCACATTCATGGCATTCTGTGACCACAAGGCACTGAGCTGGCTGCTTGTCCTTGTGTCCTGGAGCTCCCAGCCAGGGACACAGTGGTCTGAGTCCAAGTGAGCAGAAGTCACCTCTGGGGCTGCATTTGAATACTGCAGCAGGAAAAAGCCTCCTGTAGCTCACAATCCCTCTCTTCTACTCTCCCTTGTGTCCCCAGTTCTCCAGCAAACACCTTACCCTGCTTGTACTGACTCTGGCTGGGAGGAAGTTATTTTCCCTGTGCAGCCCCAATGGTGCTGAAGACTGTGGGAGAGCAAGCATAGCGTTGCCTGGCCCTCACAATCATAAATGCTTCATGTGGAAAAAAAAAACAGGTCCCAGAGAATTAGAGACTCGATGGAGGTGACCAAAGGTCCCCAGTGTGGCTGTAATATCTCACAGCCAACAAGCCAGGTAAAAAAAGTTCTTCCCAAACTTCCCTGGGTTATGAGACGTGGATTCTGCACGGATTACAAGAGAAGCAACTGCTTAGTAGCCCTGCCCCATCAGCCCCACTACTGCTTCCCTCATTCCTGGTCTCCATATCCAGACTCCATATGCAATGCCACTCACCTTCAGCAGCTCATACATATAAAACCGAATATCAAAGTCTGTCAGGATCTGGTACAGTTGCTGAAACAGATTCGGAGAGGAAGGAAAAAAAACAAAAGAGAGAAACAAAAATAAATAGTCCAGATCTGGATTAGTTCTGTTTCCTGTATCCCACCTGCCTTCCATTCGGATCCCATTCTAGATTCCCTGTGAATGCTGCCACTCCTGAGGGCTGTCCTGCTGAGACACCTGACAGGGCTACACACTAGGAAATCAAGAAAGGACACAAGAGCTCCCAGGAAATGCTACTGGGATAATTTAGACCTTTCATGAGTTCTTTCCAGCAAGAGTCAGGCAAGGCTGTCTGTCCAAGGCCCCTCAGAGCATGCTGGAGCTGGCACAGATAATCTTGACCCTGTTCACATGCAAAGTCATCATGGTGACTTGACAACATGGATAATGGCATTCAGAGCAGGTGGGCTGGGAAGACATGGGCAAGGCTTCCAAGTGCTCCAGGTAGAGCAGGGAGAGGAAATCACTACCCTAAAGGAGAATGGGGTGGGGAAGCACAAAGAGTAGAGCCAGCCTCAGAGCTGCAGAGCCTCCCCTCCATTCCAGGATAAAGGTTAACTCAAGAGCACAGACGTGCTTGTGGTGCCAAGGAGAGCACAGCTCGGAGTCTCAGGGAAGTGCTTGTTGCCAGCACACATTAGCCACCCTCCTCTGTGTTCTTCTGCGGCTACTCATGCAGAAGTGACAAAGGTCCAGGATGCACTTTAACTCACACCATGTGATCAGCACTATCACTGGAGAACTCGTCACCCTCCTGCTCCCATATCAAGGTCACAACTGACCCCAAATTTTCCTTCTGCTCTATATCTGTCATTGGCAACAGTGCCAGCCTGGACCCCCCAGGCTGGGCTCTCGTTCAGGGAAAGTAAAGCGAGATGCCCAGCAGGACAAGGAATGACACTCGCAGGGAAGCAGCAGGACCAGACACCTCTACCTTTTCTAACAAACAAGGATCATCTCACAGCTCAGTCAAATCACTGACTGCACCAGCACTAGAGCCATATGCCCATCACAGGCACCACTTGGAAGCTTCAGGAAAAAACCCAAAGCATGGGATTGAAATTCACATTCACTTTCACATTCTGGTCCCAGATCCCCTCCATGCCCATGCAAAGATCCTCAGGATCTACCTTACTTAGGGTCAGCTTCAAACAACCCCACTGCTCCTTAAACCTGCTCTGTGAAATCACTGGACAACATACAAGTGTCACTGACACACAGAGAGCTTTAACAGCCCCCAGGACACAAGCTTTATTGTATTCTCATGAGCTGGGACAATCCTAACACTTTGGAGCAACCCACTGAACCAGACAAGTGAGCAGGGAGCAAAAAAAGACACCACCACAAGCTACAGCAGGGACAGATTCCCTGACTCAGCTGCGCGTGGTTCTGATCACGACCCAGGGCCAGCAGAGCACAGCTGAGTCCCTTCATGAGTTTGTTGCAGTGACTTGCTTTGGTAGCAAACACTGTGGCGGCACAGAGATGCTTAAAACCTGTCTTTCTGGGAATTGCTACCTTCCTCAGCTTCTCCTGGCAACAGCAATGCACCCAGGGAAGGAGGTGGCCAGGGAAGGCAGTGGCAGAACAAGACTAGACCCCTTTTTCCCCACTCCCTGGCTCCTCTGCCCATAAGCAGGAAGGGGATGGATGGCAGGTCACTGATGCCTTTCTTTTCAGGCCCATGATGCTGTTACTTCTCCAACTCGTAGACTTCAGTACAGGCAGCTGTTGGGCAACCAGCTTTCAATAAACTTCCCTAGAAGAGATGCCTGTGAAACCCAGCACCTCTCACTGTGCCAAGGCCAACTGTGTGGTTCGCAGGGCCAGGGCTGTGCTGCCTGCGGGAATAGTACCTGCAGGCACAACAGGCAGCTGGGAACACAGAAGGCTTTGAAGGACAGAGCCAAGGTTCCTGCTGCAAGTGGTTCCCACACAGCACCTGCCCCAGGGAGGCTTTGACAGCAGCAGCGGAGAGCAGACACCTCCTTTACAGATGTGCCCCATGCTCTGCTCTTACTGCTCTTTGGAGTAAAACTGTCAGAAACCTCACTCAGACCCAGCTCAAACAAACATCTGCTCAGCTGTTGCCAGCACTCAGGACTTGCACGAGGCCTGAGATCTGGGCTGGGCTCCTTCCTCCAGACAGAGAGCAAGGAAAAGACCAAACTTACAGAATCACAGACTCACCATGGCTGGAAAAGACCTTTGAGATCATCAAGTCCAGCCTATGACCTGACATCACCACATCTCCAGACCATGGCACTAAGTGCCACATCCAGCCCTTCCCTGAACACCTCCAGGGATGGTGCCTCCACCACTTCCCTGGGCAGTCCATTCCAATATCTAATCACCTGCTCCATGAGGAAGTGCTTCCTAATATCCACCCTAAACCTCCCCTGGAGCAGCTTCAGGGCAGGCCCCCTCGTCCTGTCACTGGTTGCCTGGGAGAAGAGCCCAACCCCACCTGACCACAACCTCCCTTCGGGTAATTGAAGAGAGTGAGAAGGTCCCCCCTGAGTCTTCTCTTCTCCAGGCTAAACAAACCCCAGCTCCCTCAGCCTCTCCCTATTAGACTTTTCCTCCAGTGCCTTCACCAGCCTCATCTCCTCTAGACCTGCTCCAGCACCTCAAAATCCTTCTTGCAGTGAGGGGTCCAGAACTGCACCCAGGACTGGAGGTGAGACCTCACCAGTGCTGAGCACAGGGGGAGAATCACATCCCTGCTCCTGCTGGCCACACCACTCCTGATACAAGCCAGGATGCCGTTGTCCTTCTGGGCCACCTGGGCACACTGCTGGCTTATGTTCAACTGGTTGTCAACCGGTACTCACAACTCACCTACAAGCAGCCTTCACCCCTCTCCAGCTTTCAGTGCTATTTTGGCACACATCATAAACTAATCCTGTTAGTGTCCCAGAAGGCAGAGACATGCTCCTCCTCCCCATGGGGCCAACAGGAGTTAAACACCGCTTCTCCTCCCTTGAGTAAGCATCACAGCTGGCTACATGCAGGAAGGAGCACCTGAAAAGCAACAGGTTGGCTGAAGGAGCTGTCACAGGAGACAGACACTGTTTTGGGGGTGCAGGGCAGGCAGCAGCAAGAGAAAAGGAAACAGCTCTCAAAGCATCCGAGCCTTGCCAGCCAAGCAAGGGAGGAGAGTCTTTCATACTTCTGCATTGCCTGTGCAGGGCAACAATATTTTAACCTAACCTTGGATATGCAAGGATAAAACACAGGCATATGCCTCACTCACAGCAGCTCAGCCTGAAAATTCACTCAGGTGCAAGTGAAGATTAGGCTCAAAAGGCCTCTGTCCCCACAACTCCAACAGGCTGAACATCCTGAAGTAACCTTTCATTGCTCACCGTTCTTTCCCTTCTCCTCCAGCTGCAAACATGCTAGTGTGTTTTAAGAACAAAATAGCAAACCTAACCCAGCAGTACTCCTGGAGACCTGGCTCTGACCCTTCTTTCCCAAGGGATTTGCCTCTTCAGGGCACTGAAAGACACAGGACCAGGTACATCCATGGACTACACAGAACTGCCACAGCTAATGGTGGTCCCCCTCTGCTCCGCTCTCATGAAACCCCCCCACAGGGCTAGTTCTGGGCCCCCAACACAAAGAGGACATGAAGCTGTTGGAGTGAGTCCAGAGATGACCCAAGGGCTGGAGCAGCTCTGCTCTGAAGACAGGCTGAGAGAGTTGGGGATGTTCAACCTGGAGAAGAGAAAGCTCCAGGGAGACCTTAGAGCACCTTCCAGTGCCTGAAGGGGCTCCAAGAGAGCTGGGGAGGGATTTTTGACAAGGGCAGGGAGGGAGAGGATGAGAGGGAACAGTTCTAAGCTGAAAGAGGGGAGTAGAGTAGATATTTGGAAAAAATTCTTCACTAGGAGGGTGGTGAGACACTGGCCCAGGTTGCCCAGGAAAGCTGTAGCTGCCCCATCCCTGGAAGTGTTCAAGGGCAGGTTGGATAGGGGTTGGAACTACATGAGCTTTAAGATCCCTTCCAACCCCAACCAGTCTGTGGTTCAGTGATTCTAAGGACAGGTTTCTCCTTTCTAGTTTGAAACCAATCAGCAAAAACCATTTAATATCAGTGCTGGTTACTCACTGGCTGCATGGCTCTGCAGTACAGCTGCCATGCAAGGCAGATGAATGTGGGTAGCTTGAGTGCTCCCAGGTGACAGGTAACACAGCAGGTCTGAAAAGAAACACCAGCCTTGTACATCACTGCTGTCCTCACCAGCAGAATATGCATTTAGTCTAGTTCCAGCTCCTCAGCCCTGTGGGCACAGAGTCACCACTGTCAGAAGGGACCCAGACAGATAATTTAAGACAATGTAATCAGCTCCAAGGAGATATCACCTAAGTCTCCTGTTTATACAGCAATTTTTAAATGGCCAAACTGTGATTTCCACTGCGTGGAAATTAAAACCTTGTGCTTTTGATCCGGAATCGTTGAGAGCCACATCCCTTCCAACCCTGATGACTCTGTGCCTCTCATGGCTTAGGGGCCACAAAACTGCAGCTTCTGCCCATGTACAGAGAGCTGAGGAACCCCAACAGCCATTGTCATGGCTGCATGGACATGAGTAGTGTTCTGCCATTAGAATGAGTGAAGGTATTAACATGAAGCAAAAAACAATGTAGTTGAAGTAAATAAACTTCCAAAAAGGAGGCAACTGATGAGATGTCCAAGCTTGTGCACATCTGTTGACAAGAGGACAGAGAAAACGGCACCTGCCTACTGTACACAAGTTGCCCTGGGAACCTCCCCCACCCAGAAGGAGATCTGTCAGTGAGGTGCGTGGCTCTCATCAGTACTGATGAAACCAGAGGTCAAGGCAGAGATGGTCAGCAGCAGCCACCTCAAAACAGAGAAGAGGTCCCTGTCACCAGGATTAGCTCACATGGCACTTAACTCCAGCAGAATTGGGCTGCCTGGGGTGATCAGGACTGTGAAGCTGAGGGGACAGTGACTGGGTGCTCTCCAGCTGCTTCATGCATAGAGGTGTAGGGCAATCCAAGACCTCCATCGCAAGTGGAGGAAACAGCTTCATGTCCTCTTTGTGTTGGGGGCCCAGAACTGGACACAGCCCTGCAGGGGGGTCTCATGAGAGCAGAGTAGAGGGGCACCACCATTAGCATATTCTGTGTAGTCCATGGATGTACGTGGTCCTGTGCCTCATCTACTCTGTGTGCCTTCTGCTTGGCAAGGGCATTTCAGACCACAGGAAGAGATCTCTTCGGAGCTTCTGTATAGAAGATATCCACAGGCACCTTGTGAGCAGCTCTCTGACCTGTCAGGTAGCTGCAGCCCCAAGAGGCAGCAGAGCTCATGAGTACAGCTCAAATAAACCGCACCCCCCACAGGTAGCTATTGAAATTCAGGTTACAAATGAGCTCTGAACACTAACAGCCACATGCCCTAGGGGACACGCTTGCATTCCCAAGACAAGTTCTTCCTGCCTTGTACATCAGTATCAAAGCATCAATACTTATTTGCCTTGGACTTGTACAGCTGTGAAATTGGGCTTCCTCAAAGGGCTGGGCTTCCTTCTGGGAGCCTGGGGATGGTCTGCTGCAAACTCACATAGTTGTTTCTGATGCAACAGCATTTGTTACCTCTGCTGTAGCCAGACCAGTGCTGCCTTACACTGCTTGTGGTGGCTCTCAGTGTGGCTGGGATGGCTGAGGCACCCTTTACTCCAAGCCTTGCATTTTTCAGTTCAGAGTCCCCATTGGTCACCAGTCTCAAGTTACTACTTAACACTCTACTTCGCGAACGTTTCTGTTACTGCTTGGTATCTTGGATTATCATTTTTTCCTCTAAGGACTCCACAGACTGATGTAATCACCTTTTGACTAGGAGACACACCTCAGCAAGGTGTGCCACTGCCTGAGCCACTTATTTTATCTCAAGCCATATCTTAAAAAAAAAAAAGCAAAACGCACATAAACCCCCTCCCCAACTCTAAATAAAAATTTAAAAACTACTATGATCAGCCTTATGAAGAGTCCCTAGGTGACCAGAAGAAACACATGGGCATGTATCCAACACACATGCAGCACTGGAGCACCCCAAACCAAGCCTGCTTTAATTAGCCCTGAAAGGTCACACATAGCACTCCTCTCATGGCTGTTTACTTGGTGGTGCCAACACTCATCTCCCTGCCCAGGGCAGTCAGTGCAGACACTGCTGCAAGTCCCTGTTATCCTGGCTTCTCTAAATCTTTCCGTGGGATTAACTGGCACTAAAACTATCACAGCCAGAGCATGGCTGCAACTCTGGCTATGCCCAAGTTCCCACCCAGCAGGATTCAGCTCACCAGACCAAACCTGGAGGGACAGAAACAATGTGTGCTGCCTCAGGGCTGCAGGTGAGATGGTCCATGGGCAGCTGACAAGCTACCTTCTATCCACCAACACCAACCCAGGGTCCTTTTCTGGATGTTTGGAGTATCTGCCAAAGCTGCACCCTGCAAGTGTGTGCCTACCCAACACCTGCACACAGAGAGCAAGAACAAAGCATGGTACCATACCATGGACCAGATCTCTGAACAGTGCAGGAGGGGATGACTGCTAGCTTTCCAATGGCAACTGCTCAATTACTTCTCCACAACTGACTGAGGGTAAAGATTCATATGAAGGAAGCAAAGACACCATTAAAATAGGTGTGGTTGCTAATTGTATCTCTGTCAGACAGCAGCACGTCCTCAGCACCGGCAGCTGTAGCTGCACCCAAGAGAGGGACCCCCATTTTGGGAAGGGCTAACACCACTTGGTGCTCCCCAGAAACCAGGAGAGTCAGGGAATATGCTGCAGCCTCAGGCAAGCAGAAAAGCTCTTAAGATGTATTCAAAACTGCTCAGTGCCCTGCCAGACCCACCATGGGAGAGATGCTCTCCAGTATCTGCCAACTCTGGTCTGAAGGACTCCAGCACAAATTGGTAGTATGTTCTCCATCAACTGCACTGCTGTCAATACAGCGTGGCAGCTCGGGGGTTAACTTGAGGTGAACATGGAGTGCAGCAGGTATCACTACACTGAGAGGGGAGGAACAATATCTAACCTGTTGAACTTACTCCTCAAAGTTGTGAGGACATTCAGCATGCAAACTTTTTATTCCTTCTCTTTTAGAGCCTATCAACAGGTTTCTGGTTTACATGGGGAAAAGAATGTGAAGCTGACACAGCTGAAAACCCCAAACCCCATAGCTCTGAAGGAGCATCCAACAACCCCAACAGAACTCAGCACTCAACAGAAATGGAAAGCCTACCCTCTCCACACCCAGACAGACTCACCTTAAAATCTGTGTTATTGATGTACTCAAACACCAGAGCAGGGGTCTTTGACTGCAAGAGAGAGAGAGAGAGTGTCCTGGTTGAAAACACCCTCTTGACCTTTCTTTGCTCCAAAAGACCAGAGAATGCTTTTGCTTCCCACCCAACCATCACTTTGGAGAGCAGGGCAGGAGTAGGACAGGCAGAGAAGCCCTGCCCAGCTTCCACAGCAGACAGAGCTCTGCTTGTACCCCACAGCAAGCACCACCACAGTGTCTTGGCGAGTGCTGCTCCTCCCCGTGCCAGAGCAGAGACAGCACTGGGCATGGCAAGAGGTGCCACCAGGGAGTCACAGACCTCAGGCAGCTGCTTGATAGAGAAAACTTCCCAGGAGTGGGGTAGCTGTGGCAATGCAGAAAAAGGACACGATGGCTGGTCAAGGTGCTTCATGTCCAACTGCCCTGACACAGGTTTCAGGTGCCACATCTACAGGTCCTGTTTTCTTACACAGAACTTGTAAGAATGCAAACCTCCACCCCCATCAGCCATGGGAAACTCCCAGAAGACACAGGAGGAGTGTAAAAGAGTCTGGGGAACATGGAGAGGAACATGATCCATCCAAACCAACCCACCTCAGGAGACCCTAATGAGCTGGACACAGCTCACCCCTGGCTGGCACCTAATCCAAGCTGAGAGCTGACATGGTGCAGCAGTGCCCATCCATGCGTGCAGCCAGCAAGCTCACCACCCACACCACCATGCACAGGCACCTACCACTGGATCCTTGACAGTGTCAATCAGATTAATGATGTTGGTACCACCACGTAGATTCTCCAGAATCTTAACCTCGCGTTTTATCTTCTTTTTCTTCACTGGCTTAAATAGACAAAGAAATTAGAAGTGAGGGTCCTTTCAGGAATTAGCACTGATTTCTGCTACTAATTTTGCCTGGATCACCTCCCCTCCCCTATTCTCTCTGCTTCCACCCTCACAAGGGAACATTTTTAGCCTCAAAGAGGAGACAGAGACCTTGCATGAACTAGGATTTCCCACTCATCAGTGAATGGTTTCCACTCATCAGGGTAAAATCAAACCACTCCAAACAAACATAATTGTGACTTGAGTAACTGTGGTTAAAAGCACCCTGGACTGCTATGTGAAAACCTGAGCACACTTACTCTACATTTAGAGTCACAGGACAAGCATGGTGGACCTCGTATCTCAGCTTTTGTTTACAAACCAATTTTTTACTCCTTTTCAACATGTACTTCAGAGTCTCCAACACCAAGATTTCTAGGCAGCTCAGATACTGATATGCCCACCTATGCACACAGGTCTCTCACAACGACCCCAAGATCAGGGAGCCAACTGCACAGCATGCCAACACATCCAGCTAACATGATTATTTTTAAAGCCTGCAGACATTTTAAACAGTTTTTGACTTCTCCTTGAACCTCTGCAGTCCCACAAACTCCCTTTGCAACGTAAGCTTTTCTCCAGACATCACCCTGCAGAGAGTGACAAAGAACAGCTGCTCCCAAGGCAGGGCAGGGAGGTTGGCTCGGCTCTTACATTTTGCTGATCCAGTGGTTCACTTCAATGCAAAGGAACGATTGTTTCTGTAACTCATCCACTCCCAGGACAACTCCAGCTCTGTGCCTGCTTGGAAGGAAAGGCAGCTTCCTGCAGCTAGTAGATGAGACTTTTTAGTGAGCCTTGGCTAGTGACTGGTGTGGGCTGAGTCTGGCAGTCACCAAGTCTGGCAGCCCTTCATTGCAGACCTGGAACATCCCATCCTGCCCTACCAGTGCCACTGCAGAGACATCTTGCAGGGCGTGGTAAAGCCCTTGCCCCAACTCTCAGGTTTGCTGATGAAAACACTCTTCTCCAGACATTTACCTTACAAAAACCTTCACAGCACGGAGTCTGGTGTGTGAGAAGCAGAGTCATGGGGAATGGAAAAGAGGTATGAGGCACCTCATCAAAGTGGCACACGTTATCAGATGTCTGTGTGAAGGACAAGGAGCCACAGGAGCTCAGCAGCTCGTGCTGTCCACCTCACCTCTGCCACAGCCTCCCACTTGGAGGATGGCTGCAGAGTACCAATGGGGTAACTCCCATTCCCACTACTGGCAGATCCAAGGCAATCCCTAGTTTCAGAACCCTCACAGGAACATACAAGCAGATGGGAGAACAAACAGAATCTTTTTATATAGTTGGAAAAGGTGGTGTTTATATAAGTGATAAAATATGCTGTCTTTCTAGGCTCTTCAGGTGGTTGGTACATTTAGATTAAAATCCTGCCCTTCTCCTTTTCCAAGTTTAAAGGCAGGAGCTACACTTTCAAGCCAAAAGATGAGAATCTCAGCCTGAAGCAAAATGCCAAAAATAACACCGATGCTGGCACAGGGAGCATCAGCACCTCGTAAAGCCACTAAGGAAAATGGCAGCAAGGCCACCACAGCTGTCACCAAGAGCTGGAGAGATACAGGGCAGGGTTTGCTTAGGAAGGGGTGACCAGCAGCCCCAGAGCAGTGCCCAGACTTGGCTGCAGCTGGTGGAAGGTCAGACAGACAGGGAGAAGCAGCCAGAGCAGGGGGACAGAAACCAGAGAGGAATATGCTTCATTAGAGATTAATTTCATTTGTGTAAGCATGGGGACAGACACCACTCTTGTGTAGCCCACATGCACTGATCTTACCAGAAGGCCAAGACAGAATTAGAGGATGTAATTAGGTTACTCTGCTTGTACAGCAAGGCAAATGCACACACAAGCTGTTTTCCAAGGAACTTCAAAGAGGGTGTCCTGCAGTGCTGGCCTAGCTACCAGCAGACCTGCATCGCAGCCCCTCTGCTGTGGCACTTACACCTGATTGGGAGCAGAAACAGGGCCTGAACACAATCAATAGGACCCAGAGCCCACTTGGAAATACATTTTCCTTTGCACTGTAGTTATTTCAAGGCCCTTTTGCATCAGACAGGTAGGGGAGGATTTTCCTCTGAGATTTCCATTTCTCCTTCCATAGCAACTACTACTCCCACTGGGGCAGATGACACTGTCTTACAGTCACTTCCACATGTTTCCACCTTTTCCAGGTTAGGAAAACAATGTCCTGGGTGATCTCCACCTCTACCCACAACACCCTTACTAAAAGACAGAAGCAGACAGAATCAGTGACTTTCGGAAAAAATGAGAGAAGAAAACTTGGGTATTTTTTTAATGAAATGCCTGCAGATAATATCAACAGCAGCACCTCCAAGATCATCAAGGGAAGACTCTTCAGTGAATCCTGTCTTGGCAAGCGAGAGTTAAAAGCTACCGTTTGTTCCTTTTCCTGCTCTGCAGCACAGAACTGGGGCCAGAATGTCCACACACAGCTACAACTACCCCTGGGCAGGGAAGGGGGCACGGGACTCCTGCTCTCTGCAGGGCTGGGAGCAGCATCATGCCAGAGCACTCTGTGGCCCAGACAGGGTTTTCTGCCACGAGGTAAACAGAGATGAGGTGGGGTGAAATGCCACAGTTTGAAGTAACGTTGTCTCCGAGGAAAAGCTATTGCCTGGAAGTTTCCTCAGAGAGTGACAGAAGGGAACAGAAGATTTCCTCATTTCAGATGTGCAGGATGCAGCAGTGGTGACTGCTGGCCACCACCCCATTCTGCACAGCCTCCACCTCCACAGCCCACCCAGCCACAGCCCAACTCTCCCCCACATGCTGTCCCACCACACTGCTCCAGTAATGACTGCAAACACCATCTGCCACCCAAAAGCATGTCCCAGGGGCTCAGATGTTGCCCACCAACTGATTCCAAGCCCAGGATCCTGCATCTGGCAAGTCAAACACCTTGATGCAAACCACTCCAGCACACAGCCAGTACTGCACTGGAGCCAACTGGTCACAACCACAAAAACTCTATCAAGTTCTCTCCTGTCCCCAGACCCAAGTACTGCTGAAACCCAGGGCACTCAGCAGCACCATCGTCCAAGCTCCAAGATTAAGTCTGGGTTGCTAGAACTGTCTCTCAAGAGTCACCCAATCTGTCTCTCCAAGGATGTTGACTCCAAACACACATGGATTAAATCTGAACTAACTGAAGCTATTATTATGGCCTCCAACCAGCA